TTTTCCCCCCCCCCCCCCCCCCGCATTGTTGTGGATCCCCCTTCTCTATTTTACTTTTACTGAATTGCTTTTGCGGTAAAAAGCCAAGGGTAGAGTTCCTATTCCCAGCTCACAAGTTGTATGTTCTGAGGCAGGGTAGAGGCAAAATTAGCCTGCAGAAGAGGAGCAAATCAATATTTTTAAAAAGATCTTTGAAATGAGCTTTTAAGTTGTTGTCCTGACCTACCAATGACTTCTCACTCTAGATGTGGCTATGCTGCACATTTATTCAGGTCCATTAAACTGGAAGTGGGGAGGGGGAGTAAAAAGTATAATCTTTATTTGGGTGAGAGGCCCCTACAGCCCTTGTTTTCTCAAAGTGTTTGACTTCATGGTCAGCATCTGTGATATCAGGTGTGAGCATGTCCTTGCTCGAATTTAAAGTTATTTTAGGAGGCTTTTGAAACGAGGGGATAGAATCCAAACCAATCTCTTCTACAGATCCTAGTCCTGTTCCTTGTGCTCCAGATTTGCTCCCCACTCAGCTGCTTTGGCAGCTGGAAAAGGAGATGGGGGAGGCATGCGCAGATGGGTGCTTAGAAGGAAAGAGAAGATCCACTTCTCCCACTCCCCTTCATGTGCTCCCAGCAAGGTTTGCTGTTTCATTACAACTAAACTTGTGAATTCTCAGAGGATTTCAATTTGGCCCTGTTCTCCTCGTCCTCTGGACACTTCTCGACCAGAGGCAGCCTATCGCTCCAAAGTTAATTCCTGTAGCATCACTGCCTCTTTGGAGGTGGGGGGGGAGGTGGGAGGGGCACGGTTTGGGACAGGGGATGTAATGCTGCCGCTCTCGCCTGTTTTTCTCCCAGCCAGTCGCACGTCTTTTCATCCTCCAGGTTCTGCAAAATACTGAGGAAATGTCCATGGGCTAACGGCGGGCGCTGTCGAGCTCGGGGAGGTGCTGAAACAGCTCGAGCGCGCCAGTCGCAGCCTTGATTGGCAGAGGCGGCAGGTGACTGACAGGGGGTCTCCATGGCGCCCGCACCGCCAATCCGCCCACCCCAGTAGCAGCGCCTGCTCTCCCGCTCGCGTGCCGGAGCGGAGCGGAGCCGAGCCGAATCCGAGCTACGGAGCCCACACCTCCTCCAGTAGGGGCTTTTGACTCCCGGCCTTTGCGCCACCGCCGCCGCCCCGGCCGTGTGTCCCCGCTGCCCCAAGCTGCCTCACAGTGAAGAGCCTGAAGTACCAGGCCAGGCCCACAGGCATCTGCTGCGTGTCCCGCTCCAGGCTCAGTGCCCCCGCCGCTGCCTGCGCTGCCTCGATGTTCCAGCTGCCCATCTTGAATTTCAGTCCCCAGCAAGTGGCCGGGGTATGCGAGACCCTAGAGGAGAGCGGCGACGTGGAGCGCCTGGGTCGCTTCCTCTGGTCGCTGCCCGTGGCCCCTGCGGCCTGCGAGGCCCTCAACAAGAATGAGTCGGTGCTGCGCGCTCGAGCCATCGTGGCCTTTCACGGTGGCAACTACCGTGAGCTCTACCATATCCTGGAAAACCACAAGTTCACCAAGGAGTCGCACGCCAAGCTGCAGGCGCTGTGGCTTGAAGCACACTACCAGGAGGCTGAGAAGCTTCGCGGACGGCCGCTGGGGCCGGTGGACAAGTACCGCGTAAGGAAGAAGTTCCCGCTGCCGCGCACCATTTGGGACGGCGAACAGAAGACACACTGCTTCAAGGAACGCACGCGGCACCTGCTACGGGAGTGGTACCTGCAGGACCCATATCCTAACCCCAGCAAAAAGCGTGAGCTCGCCCAGGCAACCGGACTGACCCCCACGCAGGTGGGCAACTGGTTCAAAAACCGCCGACAAAGGGACCGGGCGGCCGCAGCCAAGAACAGGTCGGTACCTACAGGCCTCCGCGCTTTGCGCGCACAGGGGAAAAGGCGGGCGAAGGCACCCCTGGCGCCCTTAGTCGGGGTCTGGCAACTCCGATTAGGCAGGAGTTGGGAGCACGGTCTGTGTTCGGTTGAATCCACTGCGTTCTGGGCTCCTGGGCGGGGGTTACCTCTGGGCTCCTGGTTCCCCACTCTCTAATTCTCAGCGCCTCGGGGTCTCTGAAGCAGCTGGTCTCAGTCACCAAACCAAGGCTTCATTGGGGCGGGTAGGCGGAGAGGAGTAGAATAAAAATTAAAATTCCAGAAACAATTAGTGACCCCAAGGCCCAAAGCTAATTGTTGTCAGCCTAGGCCCAGGCTCCTATTATTAAGTGAAGACTGACTTATTAGCAATGTGTCGGTTTCGTGTTATTTTTAAAACCCAGGTGTATTTCTTCCTAATGCTCTAAAAACAGATTCCGATGGACTCCTGTTTCTAAGAAGTGGGAAGTCGAGTTTTCCTCTTTCCACGCGTGGCCAGCCTTGTCTCAAAACAGCAAACTAGTCGGCCGAGGCTTTTCATTCCCCGGAGCGTGGATCTCGATTAGCCGAACATTTTGGCCAAGAGCCTCGTCCTCCCCCGCCCCCCCACCAACCCTCCCTCACCCCCCC